TCATCACGTTCTATTAGTTCTACAGCTTCAGTTTCTGAACTTTCACGCTTAGTAACACATACAGCTGTGTCCTCACCACAGTGCAACAGTGAAAAGGGACCCCTTTCAAACAGTGTCGCGTTCCCAACGTTGTTTAAGCGACATACATATATATTCGGTATGAACCGGTATACCGCCCAGCACTACCTCAGAGTCTAGTCCAATCCCAAGCTGGAAGCAGTGTGATTGGCTGTTGACGGTCGTGCAGCTTCAGACACACCCACCGTGAAGAGTGAAAGTCTACACTCTGTCTGAATCAGGCGTTAATCTAGCGCTTAGTGATTAATGGAATGCTATCTTATCTAGTGCCTACTATACCAGAACCAGCTTGACTCCAGCGTAGTGAAGGGCAATAAATCTTTCACTGTAAATGTAGTGACAGCCGCTGTTTTTTCAGGGGTCATCTTCCCACACATGGCTATGTTGAACAGGCTGCTCCTGGGTGTCTGAGACGTTACATTACCAGACCAACATAAAAGTCTGGTTAAAGTCTGGTTAAAAAAATCATAGAAATTCACATACTGAACAATTGTAAACAGTGTTCTTTAAAACATCTGTAACTACTTATATAATTTACTAACCAAATTATACCACTTTAGATTAGGGAACATTATTCACTACTAACTAGTTGCTCATTAGCATGCATATTTCTAGCATATTGGCTGTTTATTAGTACTTATGCCTTATTCTGCATGACCATATTCTAAACCCATCTAAACAACAACTACCTTACTTACTATTAATACGCAGCAAATTAGGAGTTTATTGAGGGAAAACTTTGTTAATAGTGATTGTGTCCCCTAATCTAAAGTGTTTCCAAAAATAATACTGTATTTCACTGACTGCAAAATATCTAAACACAAATGAGTTCTTTTAGCAAAGCTGTAGATTCAATAGCACTTTCATTTTATAGAATAGATTTGATGTACTGTATTGTTGTAGAATACATACTTTATACATAGAGCAGGGGTCTTCAACTACTCTTCTTTGAGGGCCAGATATTAAAAATGTAATTATGATGCAGGCCAAACTTTGACCATACTCTTAAAACCTATTATATATTATTGTGTTATAACTTCTATGTAGTTTTTGTTACAGGTCATATATTAAAAAACATGCACACACATGTTGTATCCAGTATTTAGCCTTTTAATGATATTTACTTAAAACTCTTTTCTTTTTTAAGTCATATTTTAAAAAAAATGGTTGCAGTTTAACATTGCAAGAGCTATGAACATTGTGCAAAAGATTCTAAGCAAGTGTCAATAATCAACATATTTGCACAGCACTGTAACTGTAATGCAGAGCTCTTAAACTTATTTTGTTTATAACTGTTTAACTTTCATACATTGTTACATTTCAGTATTTCACCTCTTCGTTTAGTTGACGTGGCAGACATTGTAATTTTCTGAATAGAGGCAATTATGTTGTTTCTGGTTTTATTACAATCTCTTGTGCGACTGCTAGCATGCAATCGTTCACAGTCTCCGAATCAGTAAACGGTCCCTGTTTGTCTGTCTTTAACCTTGCTAAATCTGGCCGTGCTAACTGGAATGATAAAGCCCTACGTCAACAAATGACCTAACCAGTGCCACTGCCTCGTTTTCTGTAAGAACGGCATGATTTATTCTTCTAGATAGTGTTGTGCTTGTTTCTGAGTGAAATCTGTTTCCATTAATGCATAAAATGCACACTGGTGAACATTAATGCCATGTTCGCTGAGAAGATATGCCTCTCTGGGTGTTGGTGGTCTTACAACTGGTGGAACCTGGAAGATTACGTTTGTTTTAATGATGCAGTTCGTATAAAAACGTATTTAACGTTTAACATACTTTTAACATGACCACTCCATCTTCTCTTAGTAGCTGTTGCTGTCTCTTTTTGTAGGTACAACTTGCTGTACAACTCACTGACTACAAGTAACAAACAGTGTTGGGGAAAGTTACTTTTTAAAGTAATGCATTACAATATTGAGTTACTCCATAAAAAAGTTACTAATTACGTTACTTAGTTACTTTTTATGGAAAGTATTGCGTTTCGCTACTTTTTAAATCTGGACAGGGCTTGCTTGTTTGTTTTTAAAATAAAAAAGTTATATTTTTGGCAAATATAAAAGTCTTTTCACACCAAAAGTGAAATGAATAAGCCTCAGGCTGAAGGGAAAGTAAATGTACGTCCGTACAGTAGAATGCAGAAGAAGACATTTCAACACTTCAGCAATAAAAAAAGACACACAAATGTTGGTCTAGAGTAATTTTTGCTTATTAGTACGGTTGAACTGGATCATCGAAGGTCAGAAGCAAATAGAATGGGATTAAATACATAATTAAATACATAAAGGATATTTGTATTGTTTAACATTTAATTATTGCAGGTTTGC